GTCATTGACACTTTCATTGTATTTGCTGTGTTTCCTACTGCTAATGCTGCTGGGATGCACTTGGTCGTGATTGGTCGAGACTGGTGCATGCGCCGTAACCCCGCAAGCCCGTATCACTTGGGGCGCGTTTGTTTGGTCGGATCCACGGATCTCGAACCAATGGATTCGTTGGTCTGACTGTTTGTTTGGTCGGATTCACGGATCTCGATCCACCAAATCCGACCCTGCTAGCGAGGTGGATTCGAGCAGGATCCAATATGGCGGCCCACACCTCAGCCAATCACAGCTTGTTCTTTGTTATGAACCATCCCGTGATAGGTCACAGCGAAACGTGAACCGTTGAAAGTGAGTTTGCGTTTGTTTGATCAAGGGGGGTTCGATCCAGTGGATCGAGATCCGTGGATCCGACCAAACAAACATGCCTTTAGTCGATATTACTGGTGCATGCACCCGCGTACACACCTACCGCGTGCGTACCAGTCCTACAGCATGTTTATCGATTGTACGGCATCGTGGCTCCATCTTCTGGGAATTTGTCTCGGCTCTCACGCTGGGTATTATTCTGACCTGTAGCCGAGGCGCGCAGCGCCAGGACAATGCTGCTGAGGTGCAGAGCGTCGAGGCAGCTTGTTCATATAATATTTACCGATGGTTTTCGAAATTGACATTTGTGAAATCTTTTTGCCAGTTTTTCACTTCTCCAGTGAAACATGCTTAGAATTTTAAGCATTATATGGTGTTCTCCACATGCTTCTAATGTTTCTGGGTCAAACATGTCATCAAAGCTGAAGCTAATTGGCGACATCCCATAAATCTTTCGACACGTCTTCACTGCCTAATTAACATGCCTTAATTGTATCCCCCGCGACGAAGTCGGCGGGGATACTATGGTAGTATGGTTTCATGTCTGTCAAGCCGCCGCCGCCAACACTTTCCCTTCCGCTCTATAACTCTACCCTTAATTGACCTAGCGCGACCAAACTTGGTATACTTACACATCTTGGGGAGAAAGTGCGTGGCGTACCAAAACCAGGTCACTGCGACTTTTATTTGACCTTAACCTTGACCTTGAAATTGATCATATTTTCCTTCCGCTCTATAACTCGGGCCCCTAATTGACCTAGCGCAACCAGACTTGGTATACATACTGTTACACATCTGAGAGAGAAAGTGCGCATCGGCACCTGTCTTTGACCTTTACTCTGGACTTGAAGATAATCTCTCCGACTTTTAGTTTAACCCTAATCAACATAGCGGATTTGTGTAAAAAAATTCCTTACAGAGATATTTCATTTATACTAGATCGCGGGTGATACATGTAGTTGACAACAATTAACTGCCATTACTAGTTTTCAACTGTGTCTTGATAATCCCAGCACATTCATCCTGTGTTTTTACAGCTTCATGTATACTTCTACAAAGTGATCAACTTTACCTGCGTAACGCGTCTCTTACGTTACTATCAAGAGTAGATAATAACACATGTGTTATTATCTACTCTTGTTACTATGTATTGTATGCCTGTTGATGTGCCTTACCCATCTGTCCCTAAACAACATGCAGTTTCCTATGTTATCAGCCAACATTATATTGTATG